TTTCTTTCTTTCTTTCTTTCTTTCTTTCTTTCTTTCTGAACGCAAAGCGACTCCGAAGGCCGAACGATATCCAGCGACTCCGATAGCCAATAAGTGGCTTAATTGTTACACACTCCGTGATGTGGATGATCCAATTGCTTGTTTGTTATCGAACATTTTAAATATCGCTGCGTAGCTCCTCCGAAGTCGCTAATTCATGCAAATTGGTTTCCGTCTCTCTCAAACGAGTTTTGAGAGGGAGCAAAAAAAGAAAAAAAAAAAGAAAGAAAAGGGGAATTTTCCTTTCCTCGATCTGTTGCTGGATGCAGGGAAATTTATGCTTTTCATGGTTAGATGCCGGTATTATTGTATATTGATGGTACACCTTTGAAAAATGAGTCATCCGTGACGAGAGAGATCCAAGAATATCACTGATATCGTAATCGGTAAAAGTCTCCCGTGTCGCAATAACTCTCGATGACTTGAAAAACACATTGGCATTGCGTTCAGCGAGGCCAGATAGAGCATGTTGGGATTATTTGAACAACAACACGCGAAACACGTTGAAGACGATTCACGAGATGATTCCCTGCTGAAAAGATTCAAAAGGCTTTCCATCCTTTGACTTTCCTTCGATTATATAACGATCGATCTTCGATAAAAGAAACGAAATAAATAAATCAATGTCTGGGACATAATAAAAAGCAACGGCCAGTGCGACGCGCGCTTTTGCGATATCGCTCTCATAATCGCAAGTTGTTTGTAAATATTACCGGGCTCATTGCATAACCATCGAGTTAAATATCGTTAGAACAAAGCTTACCTAACCAGCCTCTGCGAAATTGGGTTAACTGGTCGATCAAACGACCGTACCCCCCTCCAATCACTCGCGGCCTGAGAATCGACGAAATCAGTATTTTCTACGAAAATACAATTTTTGTTAAACCGAGAAGTTAAAATCTGCGTGTCCCGAGGATTGGAAATAGAATTCTGGAATTAGTCTCTTTTTTTCTTTTTTTTTTTTTTTTTTTTCTTATCAATACGACAAGCATTGAAATGAACGCAACTTCGATTAACCGAGCTAGCTCGGCTTTGCAAGAGATTCCACCAATGGAAGTCGAGGCGGGACTTAGCTGCCACTACGTGCAAACAAGTTTTTTTGCAAATCATTCACTCTACCATTGCAAAAGTTTACTCGTATCTGTCGCGGAGCACCGTGACAATGACTATCGTTAAGCAAGGCCGGCCGATTCTAGCCGGAAAGACTAGCCAAGAAACGTTACGAGAAAGAGAGAGGGGACGCAAGTTGTGGCAAGGCCGTGGAATTGATAGAGAAGTCGAGAAAAAAGTCTCGCCGATTCTCCGGCAACGGGAGTATCGAATTTTATTCACGGACGCGGCGAGTCCGCATTCCCTGCAACGTACAGGTAATCATAATACTGAATCCGGCCGTTTTTATTTTAGTTTAGCTTAGCCAGCGAACACCTTGTGTGAAAGTGTCACCGTGAAACAATCGTCCAAAGTGAGTCCAAAGTAGTCCTCTCTCTCTCTCTCTCTATCTTTTCGGTTAATAGTTACTTAGCATGTATTCCAAAGTTCTCACGTTCTTTTTCCACGCCTCGTGGGAAACGGAAACTTCATTGTGCTCCTCTAAATAAACAAGAACTTGAAATGAGAATCAAGCTGGAGAGCTTCGTTTTAGATCGGTCAACCTGCTCGGGGTATTCCAATTTCAACTTCCAGGTTCAACTGATTTTTCAAATTCGTATGTTTCTCTCGAGGCGAGGGAACAAACTCGGAAAGTTCAATCGAACTCTCACCGATGGTGTGATCGAGTGATGACTTGACTCGCGGTGAGGAAACGTAGAAAACGACTGAAAGATTTACAGTGGTAGAAGAAGCTTCAAATTGATCGGAAGCCTATCTATCTGACCAG